CAGTTCAGAAAAGGGTGAAGGTGTCAGCCACATGCACTGGAGCCAACTGTGTGTGCATGTGTGTGTGAATGGGTGTGCGCCCCTGGGATGTTCATTTGTCTGAACCACATGTATCATTCAAGTTGTGCATAAAACCTTCTCTTAAAAACAGTCTTTTCTTAAAAAAAACATCTCCATGGGAAGAACTGTGTGCTAAAATATTACCAGTCATTCACATTCATATGCAGCTGAAAGCGAGATCACGAAAAGCAGCTGTATTTACCCTGTAAACCTGCAAATTAAAATATAACAGTCTCAATAAGGGACGACTCACAGGTTTTCTGATGGAAGTGCTTCCATTTGCTAAACAAATTACAGAAAAGTGCAAATGATCCCAGGTGTTAATACTTTCACAGTCGGATGCACCCTCATTTCAAAAACACTCAGGATCATGTGCAAATCATTTAAAGTCTATATTCCATTAAAATGATAAACCTCTGTGTTGCATCACCTCTTCTTTAAAAACAGTGTTTTTGCTTCAGCTGTTCCTCCTTTTTTAATGTCAGCAGTCGTCTAATAGTTGCAAACGGTGGTTTGACATCGTCTTGCACAAATAAGCAAGTCCCTTCCTATGGCCCTGAAAAAGATGGAGGCATATTTTGCTTCAAAACCTGAACACATTTATGCACTAAAGTTTCCTTCACAGATGTGCAACTAACTCATGACACGTGCACTAATGTGCAATCCCCGTACCATATGTATATTTGAACTGTGGGCTGAAACCAATCAGGTGGTCCCTCCAGTTTTTAGCCCACAAAGCCTGGAGACCATAACCTCCAAAAATAAGTTCAGCCCCTTTATGAAATGTTTTGCTTGCATTAAATTCAAAATGAGCATATACTTTATTTTGCACAATATATTTTTGTTCATTTTACACACCTACCCACCCACCAAGCATCAACAGCAAGTACTCCAGAGTTTACTTTCAGTCTACTTATATATCTTTCAAATCCTCAGCACCCCCTCGCAATCATGACCTGTCACGGTATTTGCTTTGTTTCACTCCACTCTGCACTAAATGTTGCCCACCCACAAGTCCACATGTGGGAGCACTTTAGGGAAAGAAAGTGCTCACTTTGCTCACTGAATGAAATGATAGGAGGGAAAACACTTCCTTTAATGTGGTACTTGTTCATCTTGAGTGTTATCCTGTCTGGTAACAGACTCAGCACTTCCAGCACTCACTTTGTTAATTTTAGTGATTTTGCACCTAAAGCCTCCAACCAGTGTCCCGAGCTACCACACGAACATGCTGAAAGAAAGGTAGCTGAGTACATACACAGATGCTGTGTGAGGTGTGTGATACTGCAACGACTGCTCCCACAGAGTAATTGGCTATGGTTGAATCATGCTTGAGGCGACAGTTTCCACCACCTAACATTGGGAGCCCAATCAGCTGATGCATTGTTTAGTATCACGAGACCTTCATGAGTGACTGAATCCAATTAAAAAGTGCCCCGACCTATGGACAGACGCTTCATTTCACTGCAGCTCTGTCATCCGGCCTGTATATATTTGTTCCTTTATGCATTCACTGGGTTTGTTGTTGCTGTTAGGTTGCTTGTTACCTTGTGGTAACCAGGCTTGAGGGAGACAGCTTAAGGGATACATATGAGCTTTGTGAACCACTCCAATTACCGCCAATGGTAATGTGACAAGAAAGCACGGCGGCCCTTACCTTCACACATCCGTCCATCTGTCATCAGTGAGAACCCCGGGAAGCAGGAGCAGCGAGCCCGGCCTGCCACGGCCGTACACTGTTGACTGCAGCCACCATTGTCTGCGAGAGACAAGCAGCATGATTACAGTCGTCTCTGCATTCCACACAGCTACACCTCCAGGGCAGTCATCTGCAGTTATGTTTCTCATCTTTGTACTGTTTCTCTGTTCTCTTGCTCTCCCGAGGCTACGATGGACCCCACCTTCCCTCCCGCACACTGATCATTTGCTCCCTGCTGGAAGGAGCCTCTCATGAGCCATCGCAGTCACACACCAGAATCAATTCTCCCTATTTAACAGCTCAATAGCTCTGTCACAAAGAGGCATGGGCCAGGAACTGTTTCCCCACAATCTTTAACCAACACATTCCCCTCTAAAGCTCTGTAGCGGCGAGGGCGCTCTACACATCGA